CAAATGGGTTTTCTGTAAGTGCTGAATCCACCCCTGTGACCACATTCATATAAATGTATACATGCAGCTGCACTTATAGCTGTTGTTTATGGACATACACAAACACAGATATATCCCCCTCACATACAAGGAGAGCATGAAATATCACTGGAAATGCAATGGATAAGGAAGCAAAGGGACTACCAAAAGAAAGAAGATAATTGCATGAAGATGCTGAAGCTGGGGAATGGAACTGCAGCAAAGCATGTCATCTGTGGTAATGTTTTTGCTAAGTATTATTGATCATTACATTGATAAGAAAGTAGATTTCATGGTAGTTGGAGTTTATGTGGGAGGACTTGTAGGTTGTATCTTACATTAGTGTTTAGCCATCGAATATAAAATGCAGAGCATTTAAATCTCATCATTCTGATTTTGGAACATTGTTGGTTTTTACCCAGCTGTTGGGTCAGGGATATCGTAAAAGGGTCAGCAAGAAGAGAAGGAAGAAAGCTTGTTTTGCTTCAAGTTTCTATATTTGTATGAAGGGAAAGTTCAGCAGAATAACACAGGATTTGCAGAACATTTAATATGGGATAAACACAGACTAAAACACAGTGCTGTGTGCATAGCAAACTAGAATTGCATATATGTGCCAATATATAAAAATGACAAGTCTTTAGGAGACCAAATCTTAAGATAGAGATAATTAGATTCATTGCCAAATCCTTCAGACTCTGCATTTTCATAATCCCATCAATTTGCAATGCTGTAATGTCTAACAGAGAAACCAGAAATAACAGAGGTTGCAATAGCAGACTGTGCAATTATTCAAAATGCATAATGCAAGCCGAAAGTCACTTCAGCATCATGGTGGATAGTGCTGGGTAGAGAAATAGCTGCAAATGTAGAGAGAGAGATTTTGAAAGGTATGCTACACATAGAATGTAGGAGATACCTGGCACACTGACAACCTTGCACATCTTAAATCTGAAATGCTTTTAGCTAGTTGAAGAGAAAAAAAAAAAAAATTTGTTGTTTTTTTTTTTTTTTTCCCAGTTTTTCAAAGTTTCTGAGGCTCTCTTATTTAGGTTTTAATCCCAAAAGGCACTATTCTTTCCAATGACATCAGTGGGCTTTAGATGAAGGCCTTAGAAAGTGTTTGGTGTTTTGTCCTGCTCCAGTTCAGCCTTTTCAGAGTCAGGGATTGGATTGATTATTCTCTGGGAAGCGCATTAATGCTCCCAGCTGCCATCGGCTCCACAGCTTTTGGAGACAATCAATACTTCCGAAGGCCCACAGCCACCAATGGAGGGGCTGACAAAAAACATTTCCAGTTTTAGTACTTCCTACTTAAAAAGAAGAGTTTGTTTTACATGAAGACAACATCAGATGTCTTTTTCCGTTCAAGCTATATATTAACATTCCTCTGCCCTCACTCGTGTACTAATGAGGAACAGCAAACAATTAAGAAAGGATGACAGGCAATTAAAAAAGATGTCATTACTAATGTTGCAAAGGAAACAGCTTGAAAACTTTCTATGCTTTTCCTTTCTGAATAATTCCTGTTAAAATTGCCCCTACTTCTTCCCCCCTTCTTCATGCAGCAGTCACTTTCATCTTCCCATCTATCCAGCCTTATGGCTGACAGCAGCTGAGCTACTAATATTGGATGTTGTTTTTTTCTAGCACAGAAAATGAATGTAGGCTTTGTAATTTTAGTCTCTGGGAATAGATATGTGTTAGTAGGCTAAGCTGCCATGTTGAAGACATGCAGCACTAAAATCTTCAATGGAGGTAATCCCTTCTGTTTGTTTGACAGATCCATTTTTACCCAAAATCTCTTGGCATGAAAAAAGTGAAACTCTGCCGCTGGAAGTTCGTGCCTGCAGATAGCAAAACATTGAGTAACAGGAAAAATATTCAGAGTCCTACATCTGGCTTGCCTATGACCCTTGATGTCTCACCCCAGCTCCCCCGGTGCTGGGGGTTCCATGGCTCCCACGCACAGTCCCCGTGGCCATGGGGCTGCCGGTGTGCGAACGCATCCACGTCCCGTGAGCTGATGAGCTGGCGCGAGTCTGTTTGGGCTGTGCAACCCACTCCAGGACCAGGGTGGGTTTGAGGCAGTTCTCGGCCTCCTCTGCTGTGGTGTGAAGTGGACAACGACCTGCCCACCGAGACTGCGACGACAGAGGGACGCACCGGACAGCATACCGTCCTCAGGCAGCAGCTCACCCGGCCTCGGGGTGACAGAGTACTGCTGGGGGGGGGGGGTGACCCAGCCCTGTGGAGCACGTAATAGCATGATGTGTGTTTGGGATGTCCAAGGTGCCCTACACAGGCAGCGTGGGAGACGGGCTCCTTGACTGGCACTCCCACAGGTAGTGCTCAGCCCGTAAGGACGCTTGAACCAGCCTATAGGAAATGACAAGCAGGGGAAGGAGATGCCTAAATTCTTGCTTCTACCTGGCCTGAAGCGCTTATCTCAGGCCTGAAGTTGGTGCTTCTTCACGCATTTGGAGCCTGCAGTGGTGGCTTTGCTCGCTGCTGCGGGCTGGAGCCCTCGTTCGTGGTCAGTGCCCCTGCGCAGGGAGGCAGAGGAGGTGGGTTTGTGAGGAAGGGGAAGGAAAGGACAAGTCACCCCCTCCTGCTTTTCTGTCTTGAAACTGAGCTGTCTTGGAGGCAGAAATGGAAAAGGGAACAGAAACGGAGTCAGGACAGAGAGTAGCTGCAGCCCAGAGGGGTGGTTTGCACTCTGCTGTATCCTCAATCATCTACGCATTTTATGGGACTCAGAAATAAAGTAGGCTCTTATCTGTTGAATATGTGGTATACATACAGCATCTTGTGATGAAAGTCTTTGATCCTTCGTGATATTCTGAGATTTCTCCAGAATTACTGAAGGTTTTTATTAGTAAGAAATGTAATAAACTCCCCTCGGAAGCTGAGTCACCCAGTGACTGTTTCTAAAAAATCACAAGCAGTCACTCCGGATCTAGCTTGTCAGATGCAGGGTGAGTTGGCAGCCAACCTCATTTATTCAAAGCCAGGCTAAAAGTGAAATACAGAATTACTTTATAAAAGGGAGAAAACAGTACTCTCCAGAAGGCAGGGCATTTAAGAAGGTAAACGTGGGAAATTACCTAGGCAATGAAGATAACCATATCATAAGGTGAAAGAGATGTTCTCAAAGCAAATTCAGGAAAATAAAATGTGATCAATGTCTAACTTTTCTGCACGTTTCGGTCTCTGACGCTGTGTATCTGAGAACAGACTGCCTATCAGTCCCAGAGTGATTATCACTGTGTGCCATGTGATGGAGATATCATCAGACTGCTACTGCAGTGCCCAAATTAGTCTCTGCTAGTTGCAGATAAGATGCAGTCTGAGTTACTGAGACATGTCCTGAGTGAATGCCAAGGCCATAACTGTTCTTTGGCCATGGCCTCGCTGGCTGAAGTGATTGCACCTTTGCTCCCTCCCAAAGGGCTCTGCCCCTGAAATCTGCCCACCAAGCTGGTCATGGACTCATTTCTACCCTCCTTCAGTCCATATGGGCTGGGTGAGCTGAGACCTCCTGTTTCAGATGCCTCAATGACTGAACAGGGCTCAGGAGAACACGCGAGCCACTCCTTGGGCAGACCTTGCCAGATAAGGAAACATCTGGGACGGTAACCAAAGTGACCAGTGCAACCACAGCTGGAAGAGGACATCTATCCATGGACTTAGGTGCCATGGAGTTGGAAAAGTCTAAGTTAGGCACCAGTGGTCTCAGGAGGGTCCTAATTCACCATCATGTTGCACTTTGAAAATTCGCTTGATGTGGACCTCTACTGGGGAGCTTTTTAAGCTTACTTTGCTCTGTCAATGCAAATGTAGGCAAATATTCAAAACCACCACTCACAGATTTTGTGCTCACCCTGGAGACTGAAGGTGTTAGACTAGCTCCTAGCTAGGATGGTTTTCTATGTCTTTTTTTTAGCCCCATGCTAAAAAAACACCCACAGAGCTGCTTGCAAGCTGTACATTCCTCCTCCATGGGTATAGGGATTTGTGAGCTCTGGTGACACGAGTCTTTGCAGCCACTTCACGTTGCCACCATAACCCCATATGGGGAGCACACCCAGAGGACTTCTTTGCCTGTTCTCAGGTGCATGTGTACAAGCAGAGTGAAGAGCAACAAATGAGAATCAAGCACAAGTGGCCGTCGGAGGAGAGATTACAATCATTATCTGAAGCACTGTGGGACATAGACAACCATAAATGTGGGTGGCGAGAAGGTTTTTTGAGAGACTCCACAACCACTGAGTTGTGGTAAGCAGCCATGTGTGGACTCCTCACCTGCCACCAATATGAAATAAAACACAGCATTCAAAAATCACCTAATTGAGTCTGGTCTACCTGCATGCACTGATAGCACAGAAGAGGAATAACCAAGCTGTTATACCTGTAGTATGTATAGATACCTATTTCACAACTGCAGTGGGCTCAGAGCAGCCATCTGTGCGGTCAACATTGCTCTAGTGAGAAGTGGTAAAACGTTAAGGGAGAGTAAGATATTCACTGCAGCCACTTGCTCATGGCCTAACAGAGCTATGTATTCTGTTCGTATCAAAATGCAAGGAAAATTAGTCCCTCAGCTCTGTAAACTCAGCCTTGAACTATGAGTTGAATGAGATTATGCACCAATTCCTAGAAATCTTCTTACTATTTTGATTTCTGCATGAAAAGCCTGAGAAATAACCCCAGCATGTGTTCTCTCAGTAATTCCCAAAACTACATCTCTGAAGATCCATGTGACTCTTATATGGGAATCTCATCTAATATGAGCAACCCTGATTATTGAAAACACATATATAGAAGTGTGGGCCAAATACAGAAATCCAGAAAGCTTCCCAACATGCCACGTAGCTGCAGAGCCTCTTTCATTGGGTGAAAATTATGAAAGATTGCCATGTGATTGCTAGCACCACTCCTTGAGCTGAGAATATTTTTCTCTTAAGATGTAAGATCTTTTAATCAGGATTTACTTCCCTTTCCTACTGCTCATTGCTTTTCTGTGGCTTCTGCATAAATAGCACTTTGGTTTTGCGTCAAGTCTTTGTGCTTTTCCGTTCCACTAACAAAACTGAAAGTTGTGAGCAACAGCGAGCAGAAGACACAAATACTGAACACACCAGAAGGCACACAAGCTGAGGTAGGACAAGATCTGTCTGCTTTTTCTGATGTAGATAAAAATGGTTGCAATGGTTAAAATTCAAGCTACTTATATTTCTTATTACTCACAGTAAGCTTTTTATTTGCCAGAAGCTGTGATTGTTGACTAAATTTCTCTATGACAAAGCTGGTCTTGAGAATTCTTTCTGACAGAAAAAAGGGTGAATTTATGCAACTAGGAATGTTTGCCAGATGGAAGGTATCAAGTTGTGTATTTAATTGAGTCTTGTTTTTTAACTAGATTAAAAATATGTACTTGGTTTATGTCAAACTTTTAAAATAAAAGGTGTTAAATGTCAGACTTTTTTTTTTTTTTTTCATTATTGTGCATGTAGAAAGGTTAGTAAAATGCCATGTTTTTTTCCGAATTTAGTGTTAATTCTAAATATTAGATACTGTTACATTTACTCTTGGCAGTGCTGCTCCTGAAGCACAAAGTGAATGCTAGAAACAATGCCAATAGGAACTTTAAAAAACCATGAGAACTTCTGTTTTCCTCAGAAGTGCAGTGACAAATGCTGGTGGTCTCCTGTATGTCAGTGATATCACAACTACCTTCCTATTTAGGTAATGAATATGAGACTGTGGTGTCTGAGGTCTTCTTCAGACATAGGATTATTATGATAAATGCGGAAAGCACCTCTTTTTCCTGGCATACAAGAGGATCTATATATTTATCGCTTAGCACAGCAAAGAACTATATTTTGAATGAACAGACTCGTTTCCCTGTTTGACTTTGCATAATGCAGGACGTCTGATTAAAACCAGGTTCTTTGGTAGTTCCTCATGTTACAGTGACTGCAGCGTTTCAGAGCAGCAGATCTGAGAGCAGCGGTTGGGAAATGGCGAGTTTCATGTTTACACCTTTAGCAGCAGCACCCCTCCACCACCCCTCCGCCAAAGGAGCGTGTCCTTCTGTCCCGGCATGGCATAAAAATCAATCCCCTTGTCCGCTGAGATGCCGGACGACTTGACTGCCCTCCACACGAACCGGGGGGTAGCCCAGGGCTGCTGACTATCTCCGCTTTTCCAGTAAGAGCTTTTTCATATACGGGGTGGAATCTCTGTATTAATATCACCCCAGGCATCAGTCTCACTTCACCAGCAGGAATTAGGGGTTACACGGTGAAGTCAGCTGTGGCTGTTGCACTGCCAGGAACTAGGTGCAAACCGTGACTGTAAGAAATGTGCTGGCAGCTCAGGCCGGTCCATCTAGCCCAGTATTCAATCTCTGAAGGTGGCAATAAGAGAGTCTGGTCAGAAACAACATGAGAGTCTCATCGCCTGCGCGATCACCTTCCAGAGTGCTTTGCCCTTGCATTTCCCCAGCTTCCTGACTGCTGTCCATCGGCACGGGGGAGTTACGTTCCTGCCCAGCCTTTTGTTTCCCATTTATTGTCCTTGCATTTGTCCGATCCTGTTTTGATCCTGCTGAGCTGCCTGCCTGCACTCCTGCTGTGGCAGCGAGCTCCCAGCGCTTCCCGCTGCTCGCTGCACAGAGGGAAACCCTCTTTTGTCAGTTTGAAAGCAGGCTGTCAGCATCTCTGCTGACCACCCCAAGCCCCAGCACCGAGGAACCCTGTGAATAACGGTGCACATTCACACCGTCCAACACCTTCGTGACTATAAACCTTGACCATAACCTTCTTCAGCCTCCTCCTGTCCACACTGAAGAGTCTCAGGCTTTTTAGCTCTTGTTCCATCTCCTTGATCATTTCACTTGCCCTTCTCCACGTCTTCTCTAACTCCATAATCTCTTTTCCAGGTGTAGAGATTAAAACTGCTTACTATGGGAATGCATGGAGATTTGATATAAGGTGATACCATACTTTGTTCTCCATAGCCTTCTTGATGATGCCCCTCATTTTGCTGACATTTTCAGTTCCTTCTGCTGCTGTAGCCAATGCAGAAATTACTTCAGTAAATGGTCAATGACACCAATGCCAAATGCCCTTTCCCGAACGTAACAGCCGGTTTCAAGTTTGTATCGTGTAGGCACGGCTTAGAATATTTTTCCAAGAATGCATCACTTTACATTAAAATATGCTAATGCTCATCTACCACTCTTTCAGCATGGCATCTGCTAACTTGGATAACTGTCCTCTCCAGATTATTGCTAAAGATATTGAATAAATCTTGTCCAAGAATCAAACCCTGGAGGGCACCATTGCCGATTCGTTAAGCCCCACACTGCTTCTTACCCTTCAGCCAGCTTTCAGTCCATAAAAGAAAATGCCTCCCAGCTCTCTGGCAACTTAGTTCCTTAAGAAATCCTTGTTGCAGAGCTTTGTCAAGGGCTTTGACAAATGCAACTGTATAAATGCATGCATATCCATATATCCATATAAAATAACCACTGGGCCACCTTTATCCATCATCCTTAGAGCCCACCAACAGGTGAGTGGGGCAGGATCACCCTTTTCAGAAGCGGAGCTAACTCTTTCTCAGCACACCGGTGTTTCAACAAGCACAGTGCTTTCATTCTTTATTACAGACCCGCCAACAACATACCGGAGGTGGAAATTGGTCTCAGCAGTTGGTAGCTCGCAGCATCGAGGCTGACTCATGGCCCTCGAGCTGTCCTCTCAAGTCCTTCTTGTAGACAAGCCAGTTCACTGGCACCATACCTGATTGTAATGGTGGGTTATATGCCTTGGCCATCATTCTCACATTCAAGATCCTTTGGGATACTCATATGAATGCCATCTGGTCCTGATTACTTACTGGCATCCCACTTATCTGGTTTAATATTTCCTGCGCACAGCCCTTCAGTGAAGCTGGCTCCTCTGACCTGTTTGCTGCATCAGGCATGAAAATACCCCAACATCTTTGGTGGGGAACAGTGAATTAACTGAGTTTCTCTGCTATGGCCTTACTGTCCCTAAGAGATCTTTTGCCACCAAGCAACCCTGCCAGTTCCTTAGCAGTCTTTCATCTTTCAGTGGGTTTACAAAACTTACTGTCAGCCTGAGCATCCTTTAACAGATTCTTATCATTTTTTTTTTTTTTGTTAATGCTCTCAGTTTCCTCTCCATATTTGATCTGCCGTAATGCAGGCTGTCCTGTTCTCCCCGTTTGGACAAGCATCCTGCTTTCTAAATGCTGATCTTTTCCCTATAATAGTCTTGCTAATCTACTGATAGACATCAGGCTCAATAATTATTAAAATGTCTATTTCTTTCGTGAGGTAGGTTTCTAACACAGGTTTTATTGACATTTCTGTTTGTTTTTCTAAACAGACCCTGAAATTATGTAAGCTTCTTCATTCTGGGACTTCTTCTCTGCCCCACAACACTGCCTAACCTAGCTCTACTGTGATTGCTAGTACAAGGTTCCCTTCACCAAAACCTTGAACTAGGACCCGTGCAGCACTAGAGATCAAATGTAGAATAGCATCTTGTGTTGTGGATTTGTTTGCAGGACTAATTATTCTAGGAATCAGGCATTTGTTGCATATGGACATTATATCTTGTTGGGCTGCAGCACCACATCTTTATAAAGGCACCCCAAATCTCCTGCTATTGCTCCATGCTTTCAGCTTTCTAGTCTCACTTCAAGTATTCTGATGGCTGTCATCATCGTGATGAAGAGTTTGGCAGTGCATTCCTAGTACTATATTTTTATTATTAAAGTATGGGATGTCTGCCTACAAGAACTCTGTAGTGCTTCCCTTTAGCCATAATATTTGTATGCTGTTGCAAGTTATGTAGTCCTTCATGCACAGTGCCACTCCTCCACCTGTGCAGCCTACACTATCATTACCATAAAGCTGGTAGCATGGCAACACAGGCTCCCACTGATTATCCTCTCTCCAGCAGGTCTCTGAGGTTCCCCTTGCAGCAGGGTTGCTGTTCCAAGCCAAGCCTTCCAGGTCTCCCATCTAATTTTGAGCTTTGAGCATCGGTGCAGACTTACATGTCTGATTTCCTCTTGATCAGTCACACAAGATAGCACGTGCCAGCCAACTGGATCTGTGGGCAGTTGGATTTGCCCTCCCTAGTTACTGCAGTCGGGCTTTATTTTCCTCCTGGCCTTGTCAGAAGTGCGTTGGATGTCAGTTCATTGTCCTCTCAGGTCTCATCAGTCCAGCCCACTTGCTCTGTCAGCTCCCCTGTTGCTTCTAATTAAATACTCCTCTGCAAACCTTTCATTCTGCAGTGCCAGAAGCCTGGGTCCATTTTGGGCATGGTGCAGTCTCTAATTTCTGTATCTCTTGCCTTTAACCCACAAGATACCTCAGTTCCTTACATACCTGAATTTCTCCTCTGTACTGTCTCATCCATGCACTCTGAGTCTGACCTGAGCTTCTCTCTTGCTTCCCGGCCGGGCCCCGACCTTCATCCCTGATGCCCACAATGACCACAGCCACCACCGGCTCCTCTCCCGCATCCCCAGGCGATCTGCACAGACATCTCATGAGGTCTGCTGCCCGGGCAGACCTGCTCCCGTCCTGCTCCTGCTGAGCCACTCTTGCCTCCGCATCCCCCAGCGCCTTGCCCCCCGCACACGGGCGCACGGAACCTGCCCCGGGGAGGTTTGACCTACACGTTGCACGCTGGGCCATTTACAGCATCACCCCCACCCTGCTGCTAGACTGCTACCGTCATCCTGAGCTTAAAATCTGAGAGTTTTAGGGCACTTTTATTGTTTTGGTATCTCCTCCAGTTAAACTGATCTCCTCTTACTTTTGCCCTATCAGTTTCCCACCTGGTTTGTGCATCCATTCGTTAAGGGTGTTAGAGTCTCCTTTGGCAAGGAGTGTCTTTCTGTTGTCCACTTCCCTTAAATCACACTCAACCCAATAAGAGGCAAAATATTTCTCCATAATAAATAGGCATAATTTATAATAAAAGGTAAATTTTTATTTATAAGATCCATACTAATCAAGTGGTAAATGTTTCTAAAAGACCTCACAGCGGTAAAGGAAAAAACCCCACCCAAACTCTACATCTAATCTACATACACAGCAGTTATTTCAGAAAAGCCTTCTTTTTTCTTGCTTGGCTGATGCGCTTGCTCTCTCCTGCCAGGGTGGTTGTTAGAGCCTCAGGACATATGTCAGCTGCTCCTATTTGGTAGCTTCCATCAGGGAAACTCATATATGAAAAAAAATCTCCTGCTAGAGAGTTTCCATCAAAGAAGTCTCCCAGTACCACTTAAGAGAGATTCTAATTTCAGATTGTCCCTTTCTCTCCCTCTTTTTTTCCCAGAGAGCTGTTAGATCTTACCACCAATCTCCCTTTTTACGTCTTTTGGGGGACCCTGTAGGTTCCATCTCTCACCCAAACCCCACCCTGTTCATTCCTGACCCAGGAGGCAGTCTGAATGCTCTTGCTGAAAACAAAGTTTATTGCCTGTCCTTACATATACCATTCTTTCTGTTTATCTAGGAGACATTGCCTCGCATTAGCTGGCCAACGAACAGCTCATGGCTTCAAGGAGGGGTAAAATTCTCCCCTTCTCCTCCGTGGCTGCTTGAGATAGTTCTGTGTGAAATAAAGCTTTCCCTGCACCTTCCTTTCTACATCAATCCATGTGTTAAAACTCATTTAATAGGAGCATCTGCATATAATAATTGCATGGGTCATTACTGGACCTTGATTTAGGGCGGGCACAGTGGTGGTTAACAGCTTTCAGGTGACTTGTCCCCAACCTCTTTCTCTTAGACATCCCATAACAACTAGAAAGTTTTGTCTGGATAATTTGGAGAGAAGCCTGACTACTGGCTTTCCTGCCAGGACCACGGATGCTGAGTTTTCTCAATTACACATGTGCATGTAGTTTCCTAAAGGTCTTTACCTGGCAGGAGAAATGAGGAGCACAAAATAGCTTTAATGGTAGTTGTTAGCTAGATAACCTCATGTGAAGAGCCTGAGAAAAGTGCCTCAGCCTCTGCGCTTGTCGTGCTCTCTCCAGGGTGCAAGGCTTTTCATCAATTGAATTTTCATTGCCCTAATCCCATTCTTCAGCAGACAGCATCGGGCCACAAGCCATCATTTGTGGTGCTCAGCAAGGCTTTGAATTTTCCCATACTCCAAGTTCTTCGTCCTTGTTTGACTCCTCTATCTCACAGGTTTGACAGACGAGTGTTTGGTGGCCCACACAACAGGAATGCTTCAACAGGCATAGATGTTTTCTTGTGGTTTGGGGTTTCTAAAGGCAAGGATGCTTGGGCAATAGCAAAACAGAGTCAAAAGGACTTTTCCCTTTTCAGTACCTCGGGCTGCAATGTTTCCCTGGAAAATGAGGGCATCAGCTTCAATCAGGAGAAAAGCTGGTCCTTGATCTCACACAGAAAATTCCGTGACAGTCACTTTGCACAGAAAACCAGAACAGTTCAGAACTCCTCTGATTGCGAAAGATTTGTTGATACCTTGTCTCTCACCTCTGTGGGGGAAGAGTATCTCAAATGAGGAGGAGATTTCCTTTAGGAGCATGAGTTTACTGAGTCTGGGGTCTTGTTGAGCCCCAGTATCCAGTTTGCCCACTTCCAGTCTTCAGTGTACAATAGATATTATTATCTTTATTTTCTGGAAGGATAATCTGAGACACTGCAGGGAATGGTATGACGTTGGTATGAGCAAATGTTCCCCTTCTCCAAGCCACCATTCTCCCATCTTGAGATGGGGAGTACATCCTGCTCCTTGGGAGCCCAGCCCGGGGATTGCAATTCCCACGCTCCCTGTTACAGTGCAGCCAGAAAAAAAAAATTGACTGCCAGGGCACATCTGGTTGCTATATTAAGGGATCCGGATGGGCTCTGAGACAGCATCCTGAGTATACCGTGGGCCTCTCTGAACACAGCTCAGGGTCCCACACCATGGCTTGAGTTCACAAATTAGCTCCTGATTACAGCTCACTGGGAATACCTCACTGGGTCACTGGGAGCCCAGGGCACCCAATCCTAGAGCCCACTTTTCCACTAGAGAGACTCCACCTGTGCAAATAAATTCATTTCAAATGGTGAAGCCAGTGAGGTCCAGAATAAGAGGTACGATGCAGTCGTGTACCATCAACCTATTATCACTCCCACTGGGGTAAATGAAAAGCTTCTTTTTCATGTACCTACGAATGCCACGTAGTTCTGGTTTTTAGACTAAAATTTTCCATTCTCCATCTCTAGAATATGCTGACAGATGAAGAGAGGAAATTGTTCCCACTATTAAACAAGCAACAATAGTGAAACCTTCCTTTCAAAATACTACTAGCTGCAGGTCAGCTGAAAGAAGAAATCAGGAGTTCGGCAAGTAAATAGACTCTAATGAGAAAAAAAAAAATATATTATTTAGAGTGTTTTAGTGATGAGTGGTTTGGTTTGATTGAATTATAGCCTCATAGGAGGAAAAATGTCACTCTCTCTGAACACAGCCCATTTTCTCACAGGCCATTTTCATTAGGGCTGCAAATGTGGGCTGCCCTGGAAGCTGCAGTGTGTGTAGATGGCTGTCTGATGCAGAGCAGCTGAGCACAAATGAGGTTGAGAAAATGGTAAATGGAGCAAAGGCCCCACAAAAAGAGACTTATAAAGCCATCAGAAACTTACAGGGAAGGAGAAATACAGTGTAAGGAGGAGGGAGTTAAAAAAGGAACCATACATAGCTAGCACAGTATTTACACAGTGTTTAAGGTCAAAATACCCTTAATTTAAACATTCTGTTGTATATTAATATACCTCTAGTATTGCTCAGGAAAGTTCAGTGACATGCTGCCAACCATACCAGAAAAATTTTACTAGTTCCAAAAGGCAAATTTGGTTCTTTTGGCTTTTCATTCTAATTTGAAAAGCAGACTTACAAGTGGACGGTGATTTTTTTTTTCTGATCAGGTTTTGATGTTTCCATGGTAGGTAACTGGAGACTCAAAACCTCCCTGTGACAAAACGGCTGACAGCAAGTTGGCTTGTTTTGTGCAGAGAAGATCAGCGAATTGCCGTTAAAACTCACCTTTACAAGGCAGCACTTCCATAGCTTGAGACAACCACCAGCCGCTGTAATACTGAAACTGTTTCGAGGTGACTCGGGGCTTTACGCCTTGACTTGTGTATTTGCTGAGACATCACAAGTAATTGCGCATTAACAAACGTTTACTTTCCACTGCCCTCTGCATCTTGCAATTTCTGCCCTCAGCGAAATAGTCTTAAACAGCTGAACTTCCCGCCTGGCCTAACTCAGCACTCACAGCACTTCTTTTTACTTTGGCAGAAAGACGAAGAACCCTGCTCTAGACTATGAATATTTCTGAGATGGCTCTAGACCACAACTTCACTAACAGCTCCTTCAACTGTACGATTGACGGCTTCAAGCAAGTCATTTATCCCATCATGTATCTTTTTATCTTCGTCTTTGGTGCTGTTGGAAATGGCCTCTCCATTTATGTTTTCCTCCAGCCTTCTCAGAGGAAGACCTCAGTAAACCTTTACATGCAGAACTTGGCTGTTTCAGATCTCATGTTTGTGAGTACTTTGCCCTTTCGGGCCACATATTTCCTGATGGGATCACGTTGGATATTTGGTGATACCATCTGCAGGATCATGACTTACACCTTGTACGTGAACATGTACTGCAGCATTTATTTTCTCACTGTGCTCAGTGTGGTTCGTTTCATAGCCATCGTCTATCCCTTCAAACATGGTAAAGTAACCAACATAAAGTATTCCAGGATAATATGTGCCATCATATGGGTCTTTGTGCTGACTGCCTCCAGCCCTCTCTTTAGCAAAGAAATTGCTGGATACAGCAACCCAGCCAAGTGCTTGGACCTCCACCCCTCCAACACACACAGGCTCTTCATAATGAACAGCTTTGTCCTCGTTGTGGGCTTCATCCTGCCATTTTGCACAATTATTGTCTGCTACTTCTTTGCAATCAAAGCGTTGCTCAAGTCCAAGAATCCTCAGCACAAGAAGGCGGTCTCTCACAAGAAGGCACTGTTAACCATCATCATCACTCTCATCCTCTTCCTCCTCTGTTTCCTGCCCTATCACATACTGCGAACTGTCCACCTGATGCACAGCAGCTGCAGCCAGGTCAACATGCCCATTCACAAAGCACTGGTGGTCACTCTCTGCCTTGCTGCCATGAACAGCTGCCTCGATCCCATCCTCTACTACTTTGCTGCTGAAAACTTCAAAGCGAGAATCAGAAGTTTGTACCGCAGGTAGTTAATGCAGAATTGCAAAATTATATATATATATATATATACATATATATATATATACCCCCCCACACACATATATATATATATATGGTCCAAATGGGACAACTAGACTGGGTCCAGAAGCTGTGTGGTGCTAGCCAGCCTGCAGCCATGCTGCTCAGTGTCAGGCATCTCTGGAGCAAAGGTGTCTCGGAGATTGCTTGTTGGGGATGGCTAAAACCAAGGCAGGATAATCAGAGGTCAGGTGCCTGGGTGTGATCCCTGGTCCTCTTCTATTTAGCAGTGTAGAACACTTCTAGTGTTCACCCTCCGCAGAACAAGGGATTGGAAGGGATTTACCTTGCTACTAGAGTCCATATATTTAATTTCCCAGTGCTCAATCAGTGACACGAAGGGAGACCCTGCTTACCTCACTGTCTGTGTCTGCACCTCTCTGTGCTCCGTTTCCCTGAGTGTGCAGAGGTGCATGGTTCAGAAGCTGTGATACCCAACAGGTTCCTAGCTCCCTGCCAGTTCACTCTGCAAACACCGGCCAAAGGTTTGCACGGAACAGAAACGCAAAGCACCACCGATACTTTCCGCTGAGGCTGATTTACAAAGCAGGCAGAGAGCCAAACAAGAGTCGGCACCAGCTCGGGCTGTTCAGAAGGCATTAACATGTTTAAATTTTCCGCCACCAAGGCATTTTGCTTAACATTTCACTGATTGTCAAGTGAGATAACAGCTTCAAGCAAACGGCATCAGCACGGGGTGCTCTGGGTAAGCTGGTAGCAAGGGCAGGATGCGGGCGCACGGAGCCCCAGCCTGCACCCTGCAGCTCTCCGCCTGTGTGCCAACTCCTCCAAGGCCACTGCAGCACTTGTTTTCCACTCTCAGTGTTGCCAGTGCTTTTTCTGAAAGCTGAGGTTAGGCAATTCAGTTCCCGTACAGGGATCCAAAGGCAAACTTTTAGAATTGTTTTGGTCCAAACGGGTAGCTAGGGAGTGGTTTCCTCTGCACAGGTAAACCAGTCTGACAGCAAACTGCTGCCAAAGGCATCCCTAATCCCTCACCCTCTGCCTGCTCTGAGGAGGAAACTGGCCCTTTTTTTCACAGGATTAACTTCCAGTTGCTTTGAACTCCCTGACATCAAACATGCACCAATGCAGTGGAGAAACACTAAGCCAGGAACAGGAGGAAAGACGGGCGGCAAAGGAGGATTGTTTTAGAAAGCAATGGGAAGCTACATGTATGTATACTTTGGAAAATCTCACCAAATGGCTGCCTGGATTTTTAAGTTAAGATTTTGGTTTTAATTACCTCATTTTTTAATAAAAAAAGACAAGAAATTTTGTCATATTTTCCAGGAAAACAGACTGTCTCATATGAAAACTAGCAAAAATGCTGAAAGCCTTCCCTTCCCTTGAAATCCACCCAAAGGAAGGTTTCTGTCAATGAAGATACTTTCTCAGTGCTCTGAACTTTTTTGGAGAAAGCACTTTATAAGCTAAATGTTATTACTCCCAAACAAAAATAACGGCAGCTAGCTATTTTCAGCTCTGTCTGAAATATGCAGAAAGCAAATCATTGCTGGTCAGGTGGAAAAGTACTTGGCAAATCACTGGGAAAGTCACATTTTTCTTGGCTAGCTAAGGGTTATGTTCAATTGAAGAGTCAATCTATTTCAGCCACTTTATGCTGCCTTTGATGTAAGCACAGAGCTTTATCATAAGTCTTCACTAAAGTTTATGCTCCAAATCCTTATTTCAGTAACTCAGTGGCATATCTGAGAGCTGACCTAATGATGCCATGTGTATTCCTGAAGCGCTCGGTCCCATGCTGTTGAGGGAGAAGGGAATATTTTCACTGGTTTGCAATGGGAATGGGATCGAGATGGTAGTTTGTGCAGGGCTGGGACAGTGAACAAATAATGAGAAGGAAGGGGGCAAACTCTTTCTCCACGATTTTTCCCTGTCAGGAGTAGACCTGAGCAGGGACAAGTGACAATCTTGGAGCCTCTGATAAAATACAGCACATCTTAAATACTACAAAGGAACGGAAAAAATTAACTACAGTCTAATCTCACTAATGTGTTTTTGTCTGTATGCATTCAAACACACCCTATTATCAGATAATTTTGCATCTAGAGGATATATGTATCTCACTTATGAGGTCACTTTTTTTTTTTGTATTGACTGTGCTACAACTTTGTTAGGAATTGAATTAACTGTCAAGGCTGTGTTTTAATAAACTAGATTTACTAGTTGCTGAAAATATGTTTTTTATTGATTGCACAGCTAACATGGTATCCCCTCAGAGTGCAGGGGGAGAAAGACCAAGAAACAGATATTGAGCTTCTGTAAGTGGGCCATCATTTCACAACAGAGAAATGTCTTTGGAGGTATGAGAGCATCCTGCTGCCTTCTTCACCTCACCAGCAAAATAGTGGGGAACATCAGTCAAAATCTGGGATGCAGATAAAGTAATATATCTTTTTTATTATTAATTACTTGCAAAAGGATTCAAGACCATCCTTGTTAGGAACCCTCACATGCAGCCTTAACAACATTTGCGTAACAAGCCACATTCCCATTTACTGCCACATCTGCACTTGGTATTCTTGCATGCCTCCATTCACGGAGCTGAAGACCAGTGTTCTTCACCGTGGAAGTAACATAGTAAAAAATGTAATAAAAAAAGACACCATATTTATTCTGAAAAATAAAGCTCCTGACAGTTAAATTACTATCAATGCCTCTAGGTCCCTCAAGGGACCACCTAACCCTCAAAAAGTATTTTGATATGTTTCCTCAATTTTCCAGGAGACAAAATCTAAGAATAGTTACGTGTCTAGAAAGTTAAAGCAATGGTAAACTTTTGAGCTTGAAGGAGATATAAGAGCAGGAAACAAAGTCTTTAAATGACTGGTTCCCCTAAGCAACAGAAAATGTTCTAGCTCCATATGCATGTTTTCCTGTCATTAAGGGAAGCCCTGGCATTTCTAAAGATAATTTTTGAGTTCAAAGCTACACCAGAGACAAAGAGAGATTTTCTAAAGTAATCTTGCTGCAGCCTGAACCACTTGACCCTCAGCACAAGGAAATCCCACTCTTCACATTGCCTTTTTAGCCCTGGCTCAGGCCCACTTGTGGTTATGTTTGCCTGATGGAGTGGTGTCGCAGTGGGCAGGGGAGCATCCCGTTTTTGTTTTAAGCAATGCATTATTCCATTAATTTTCATTATATATTCTCAGCCTTCCTCAACATATATCCTGTTGCCACACCTTGCATTTGGCTTTAGCTCCTAAGAGTGTCTGGAGAAAGGGGTGCACATTTTGCCACTCAGTATCTCCTTCTGAGGTGCACCCTCCCTTATGCTACAACAGCATGTTGTGCTGGGAGCAGAGAGGCATCAGACTTTTTTTTCCCCCTGTTTTAGGGCTGTTGGTGCTTCTCTTGGTCCTTTGGGATAGGCAGGATAGAAATGACCTTCTTCTTCTGATAGGAGCAGAAATAACCAAGTATAATCGCAGTCAGGAAGGAGTCAGATGCTGTTTCAATAGTGACACCATCCCTGGCCTAATGTTTTGATTTCCTGCAACATATCTGAGCCAGTTTAAATGACAGCCTCTTTGAAAGACAGTGGAAATTAAGTGCAAGTGCAGATTCCCTGAGAGAGTCCAGGGTCACCCGAGGTGCTTCAGCTTTCCAGCCAGCACTGACTGTGACCCACCATGTGGTAAAACTGTCCTTGTGTGGCTGTGCAGTCCTGTACCTCTCACACAGTTGTGGTGTGTATATACAGGAATCCTTCCGGACATCTGCAAAGACAAGCAATGTATTTAATTGCATGCAGCTGATATTATGTAGTTACATCTGTTCGTCCACCAGTCAACAGCTTAAGGAGGCCAAAGAAATTGAATAACTCCCTTTGTCCCAAATTCCCTTTTCACATTTCGGAAAAATTGGCCTGACTTCCACCACCACTTCCCCTCCTTTTGATTTTATAGCTGAAAGGATAAAGCTGCCTAATGCGGGGGCCAACGCCTGGTTGCTCAAGTCACGTTCGTGCTCACAGGAGCAAAATTTGAGCCTTTATTTCTGAAGCTGGGAAACAAAGCTCTGGACCTTGGTCCACCACCCATATTACCTCACATAGGGCTTGAATGCTCATCATGATGGCTGGCAGATTTGCTCATCGTGTTTGCTGTCTGCATTTCCAGGTGTCGAGATGTTGAGCAGGTTAACTGTTGGATAATATTATGTCTTCTTCTGAGCAGCCATGGTAGATGCAACTTGGGATGATTTACTCAGAATGGAGCTGTGTTTCATAATATACAAAATTTTGGGGAAAGAAATCACTGAAGAGGGATCTTTACCCTGTGCAGATGTTTCTTACATCATTGCTAGCTTTCAGTTCTGGAAGCAGGGAGCCTGACCATCTCTGGCAGGGCAGCTCCAGGCACCTTCTGAGGTCCAGCCCAAAAAGCCCTCCATGACAGAGAAATCCCTGCTTGCCCTTGGTTTCTCCTTGCAACTAGTGTCTCACCAGAGTTTCAGGATGTTTAAGGGTGCTTTGCTCATTGCTGAGATACTGCTTGCATGCTGCAAGTTAATGTTTTTTTTTTTTTTTCTTGGCAACTACGAGGACAAACAATCCAGAAAGAATGAAAAAAATAATCTAGCTCAAGAGCCATCATACATCTTCTGAAGGTCTTTCTTACTGCAGATGGAGCAGTCTCCTCTGGTGATCCCTCACCACTAAAAGAGAAAATATAAACTCAGGTCAGGAATGTGAGTACGCTTTAAAAACCAGTGTTCTCAGATTGTCTTTTTTTTAGCTTTTCTTAATTTTGATTCTCACTGAACCTAACCATCGAAGACGTTGAAGCACAGAGAATTCCCTTTATAAAGCTGCTAGTAGCAGCACAGTCACTGGGGCAGTCTGTAGGCCTGGGTAGGATTATGCCATCCATGTTCATGGACCTTCCTATACCCTGAGCACACTCCAACTACACCTGA